ATTCCTCGGCCTGAGCCCCTGGCAGAGACATTCTTAAGACCGTCAAGCAGGCATCATCACTCACCCAAGTCTGGCTGGACAGTAGCTGAGACTACAAATACAGGAAGAACCCTGGGATCTGGGATCAGCATCCAACTCTGCTACAGACATGCACCTTAAGCAAGCCACTTCAAATTGTTTCATAAAATAATACTTGAAACCAAAACCATTGATATTAATGGAGTATTTTGAGGTCATAAAAGTTGTATTATCTTTAACAACAGCCACTAACTGCCTAGATGGAGAGTCTTCCACAAAGGGCTTAGAAGTCTAATTTCAGACATGATGCAATCAGGGTAGTGATAAACAAAGAAGAGGGAGTAGCACAAAAAGTGAAGGAAAAAAGTCACACAATAACATAGTTCTCTTTTGTCATATACCTGCCTCTATCTCACTTGACCCAGAAATATCTTTGTTTATCAGCAGTTACCTAAGCTGAAGCAGTGCTGACCTTGGCTTGCCCATATCCACACACTTGCAGCAAACAGATGACAGTATTGACTGAGCACAGTCTTTTACCGCACTGACAGGGCTTCAGTTCAAATTTCTAAAATTACGTCTTTTAGGAATTCCTGTTGACTATAAAAGGGTCTCTTTATTGTGCTGGTCTGTTACAAGGTACAGTAAGCTCTTGGCCATGACTGGGGCTGTCAGGCATTACAGCAATGCAGCTAAGCAAATGCACACCAGTACTGGGAGTAGGAACGCTGAAAGATGTGGGCAAGCAGGATCATCACACAGTGGAAAACAGTAAGGTTTTAAGACTCCAGGGGCTTAGAGCAGTCTGATTTCTTAACCTTTAATTAAAAAATCAAAGCACTCTCCAGGTTTCTGGATTCAGAGCTCCCTGCCAGTTACCTGACAGATACCTGCTCAATTTCCTCCTTTTAGCCACAGGGATTTCAGTGGAGGAAGGAAAGAGCAGATGGCTGCCACCAGTAGTGGGTCAAAGACAAAGTGCTTTCATTTCTGTAGTGGCTTATTTGTATCCTTACTAGCATTATAAAAGCACTTCCACTAAGGGGCATAAGTGACATCAGCCTCATATGGGCTCAGAGCAAAGTCAGAAATTTCCTAAAGATTCAGCTCAACAAACCTACCTGAAACCAAACAAGCCACTCATTCTGTACTTTATAACTAGAAAGAAAATAAGTTATTTGATAACAGCATGAGGAAAAACGTTCTCTATCAAGAATCCTTACAAAGCTATTTTAAACTGAGCAAAAGACTCAGCTGTTAGTAAAACAAAGTTGAGGTCGCTATGATTAAGTTCAGTACTATGACAAAAACTAAAGTTTATGCATTAATCCTCCTGGAGATGGAATTCTATGCGTTTTAAGGAGATCAGAAGTATCCTGCACTTGCACAGTTAACTCTGCGTGTCCTCGAATATAAATATATTTTAATTGAAGTCATAACATTTTGATTCAATAATCCCACATTACACTTTGAACAGCTGTATTTGCTAAAGATACAGGCTATGAAATTGCTATTAACAGGAACAATAAGTCCTTGCAAATTGTGAAAAAAAAAACCTCAGGATACAAATAATTGGAAGATCAGACTTACTAGAAAAGCTGTTAAGATCATCTGCACTAAACACTTGACCATCTACAAAAGAAATCACTAAGCATGAAGGAAAAAAAAATCCCTTATATTATATAGTTTTCACTTCAGAATGAAGGGCTAATGAACTAATCATGTCTTCAGGTATATGTATTCCATTAACCTGATTGTCTCACACCAAAGAAACTCTGAGACTGATGCTCCTTTACAATCCATAATGCATCTAGTCATCCAGTTTTATGCCAGTTTGGATGGGGCTCTGAGCAACCTGGACTAGAGCAAAGTGTTCCAGCCTTTGCCAGGGGGGTGGAACGAGATGATCTTTAAGGTCCCTTCCAAAGCAAACTATTCTGATTTTGTGATAATGGATTCTAAAGTATTTTTTCACACCAGGTATATAGCACTCTCTCATTTCAAGCAGGTTAATTCAAGTGGTCCAGCTTACGTCCCACAGCATCTGATGACATTACTATTTTCAATGCATCTCCAAACAGTAAGAATGAACATCCAATCTCTCATCAGCAGGCTGTGAGACAACTGTGTAACAAATGTTACACAGTTCTTCCCCATTTGGGAATCCACCAAGGCAGAAAAACATTCTACCAGTTATTATACCACAGACAAATTTCTCCTACAGAAAGTAGTTGAAGGAACTTGTCCATGAACAAACTTCATATTAGTGGAATACTTACCATTTACATAATACTTGGCAATAGTTAAAGCAATATATCAACACCAATTAATTCAACTTCACAACGTGTCACTTGCAACATGCTGTATTGCTACCAGGTACACAAAGAGAGACAAAGCAGTCTGTTTTCCACTAAAAAGCAAAAAGGCAGCCAAGATGAGGTTATTCTTCTGTATTTCTTTTATCTCAACTTTGTCTACAGACTGCATTTGCAAGATTTTAGGTAAAGCATCTTCATTTGAACAGTTATACCAAATTCAGAAACTACTATAGAACACTACTTTTTAAGTATGCTGTAGAACTCTCCCCATTCAGAGGTAAATTTTAAGGCAATTTATATAAAAGTCACAAAGTCCTCTAAAGCACATGAAATTTCACTTGTAGACATTAAAGGCTCTAACACTAAAATATACATGTCAGTGTCATAGTAGCGATCTCTGATACTCCACAGATGCAGTGTTCCATAATGCCTTCACACTCTCCTCAAGCTCTGCCTGGAACTGCAGCCTAAGGGGAAGGGCTCTTCCACTTGCATGATCTGTGGTGGTTGGGGTTTTAGGCCTCCTTTTTTTTAAAAGAAAATGACAACGCTGGGCAGGTGTACTGCTCTTATTGTCCATGGCTTCATTCCCGGTGCTACAGTAAAGAAACCAAATTACAGCATTTTCTACTTTACATAGCTGCATGGCCTCATATTCACAGTATAACAGCATTAAAGAATGCATAAAGAGTACACTCTTAATGCACTTACTCTGTCAATGTCTCTTTAAGGGACGGAATTACTATTATTCCCTTTTTATTGAAGACAGCTAAGTCTGGGAGAGGGAGATTTTAAAATTACTTGCCTGAAGAGGTATAGGACAAATGAGATAACCTAACTCGGTCTTAGGTTAGTGCCTATCCTTTCAATCATATTTAGTCTCTTACTCAGTTTGAAATCCCATCCTAAGGTTGGCTAAAGTGCACATGAAACCTTTCCAAAACATTTCTTCCTATTTCAGCCCGCCCACGAGACCGTATGCCATGCATATTAATAAACTCAAGATAAGCATACAGCAGTCAATGCAGGTTTATTGTGGATCTAAAAATACCATGCTAGCTTTTACTAGAGTTGTCATCTGTAAGACTTATGTGCACATACGCTAGCCTTGGCTGTGGTGGTGTCCAGGGGACACAGAGAAATTCAGGATACTAGGCAGACCTATTCAGGTGCAATCATGACATTGTTACTAACTTTGCCTAGGAATTAGACAAAAATGCTGAAGAATCTCATCCAATTCCTTTGCTGCACGCAATTACAAAACCATATGAACAAAGAAGGGAAGGTATTTATTTATACCTATTAGTTGATTAACGCTGATACAAGCTTTCATATGTTTACATCAGACACTTATGAGCATTTATGCTTATGAGCACCATTAGCACAATTTGGAATCAGAGAATCAAAAAAGGGGGCTCTAAAAGCCTGTAAGAGTGTTTTTAGCAACTACCATGACATGTATATTCCTCCCATCTTCACAATCACATTCCTAACCACCACTCCAAGGAAAACGAATTTTTGTTCTTTCCCCACAACTGCAACATCTGAGATGCCACAAATAAGAAACAGCTTTCAGGCCCACAGGGATTGGATGAATTGGAACTGCATGTGATGCCTTGAGAGGCTACCTAGAACAGAGGCTAGATAGTGTTAAAGGATAGGTATTTATTCAAAAGATATCACGTGTTCAGAGCTCACTCGTGCAGGGACAAGCTTCTGCATCTTCCACTCCTTGAACCCTCTGACTGAATGCTCTGTTTCACCTGGACAAGAGCAACCTGTACTGATTTTTAGCAGGAGGACAGCACACTTCACAGCAGCTGGACTACAGGAACAAGGGTCCTTTCAGCAGACTGCGGAAAGAGCTCTGCCACTGCTCCCACTGCCCCTTCTGAGGGCCCCAGAAGTCAGGGAGCACCATGGTCCTTGGCTACTGTTTTAACCTGCAGCAGCAAATGTCAGATTTCTGTCATTGAAGGGGTGAGAGGGGGAAGGGATGGTCAGAACAATCACACATTTGGTTGTGAAATATAGTCAGGTTTCACAGAAAAAAAATAAAATAGGACCCAGAATTTTTAAAATGTAAACAGTATGGTTGAAATTGGCAGTGTCATTTTTCCCTTTACATAAAAAGATATGTACTTGTCACAGCTATTTACAGAGGAGAAAAACAAACAAGAAACAGCAAGAGAACTAAGCCTTGAGAGCTATGCATGAGGAATGCTGTCACAGTATTACTTTAAAAAAAAAAAGGGCAAGTACTGATTTGCACATAATTGATGACATTCACCTATTACAGTAGGATAAATAGTTAAGTCAATGCTCTTCCGAAGTCTTGTACCACTTGTACTTGTGGTTTTGTTCTCTCTGTCTTACTGAAAATCTTGAACATTGCACAAAAATTTCCCTTGCAGACAGAACCTGACAAATCAGTCACAAAAGTACTGTCAGAGCCACAAAAACTAACAAAAATGCAGAAGGAAATTCACACTCGTTGCTATCTGTACTTTAGACCATGAGGAAAAAGTTTAAATAAAAGAATGGCTTTTACACATATACAGATCCTGCAGGTAGCAGGCTAAGTTTGTATTACTGCAGACGTTTCTAAACTCAGTGGCTCTGCTTAAGCAAGGTTTCCACACCCTTCAGCTGTCTTCAACTCACTTTCTGCAAGACTTGTGACCCTGGTGCTGGCATAAAGTTTCACAGTAGCACCAGTGCAGAGACAGGGATTATTTCCCCAGCAGCATTTTCAGAGGCCCAGGGCTGAAGAATTCACGCTTCCAACTGAGGTCAGGCACGATGGTTGGTTTCCATTCAGTTTCATTTGTGTTGCAACACACAAGAAGCTAAAAAGTGAGAAAAGAGTGAGATGACAAAAAAACTAGCAGAAAGAAGAAAATCTCCTCAAACCACAAGTGTATCAGTCCCTCCAGATGCCTTTCCTCTTGCTCCTACATATCCAGTGGATTTTGTCCATTTTCTAGAATATGACGCCTTCCAGGTTAACATACTTAGTTCCACAAAGACATCATGGCAGTTCAAACTGTTCCAAAAGATATGAACCACCCATCCAACTGAGCCACAGTAATAACTTCTTAGTGTGTCACCCCCCTTTTTTTTAAAGGTAGATTTTAATAACTGGTAATTTCTTAAATGTACTTTTTTTACTTATACTCTACCTGGTAACAATAAGATAGATTTGGACATATAAAAAGCTGCATCCAATAAAAAGAAGTTGTTTATAATTTTTGTTACAGTCCTTAGCTCCCTTCCTTGAAGAAATATAAGGTTTTCTAAAACATTTTACTTATTTTTCTTGTTAATGAATATGAATTTAATTTTATGCAAAGATATTTGCATGGTAAAGAGGAATTAGCACCTTTTTCTTATATATGGAGAGAATGTTGTGTGCCAGTTTTCTCAGTATCACTGGGAAAACTGCTCATAGTTTCAAATATTGCAAATTGTTTAAAATAATTTGAAAATTTTCATACACTAAGCTTCCTTAGCATTCAGTAGACATTGGATTTAAATTTCAAGTTTTTAAAAGCAGCAGCTGGAAAAACCCCACCTGTCAGTTCCTCAGCTCCCAGTATCATTTCACTAGTTCTCTAGTCAACTTCTAAAATAAGTGTATCTGCAGCTCCAATGTTAAAAAGGGAAATTGCCTTCCACAGTTCCAATTTTATATTTTTTTATACTTAAGTAGGTAAAATGACATTTTTGGCAGTCCTTGAAAAAATGGCTTAAAATAAAGACCACAGCAATAAATATACTATGCTTGCCTAGCTGCATCAGTAAAAATTTCCTCAGCTGAGTATTGACATATTTTTTTCCTGTTCCTTGTGGAGAACTAATTCTTCAGCAACAAAATCCAAGTCCTGATGTGTTTCTTGCTAATAATCTGTGTACTTACAACAGTATCTACTACTGAGAGTGACTTGGCTGTTAACTAGCCTAGGAATATTTTCCACTATCATTCCAGGAAGAAATGGAAGATGTATACTTGTAATTGGTTAACACTCTCTTCCCTCTCCCTCCAAGTAAATAGCACACACAGACACACAAAGGGCAAGGAAAACAATTAACCTTCCAACTCCTGAATTTTGGCTTCAATTCCCTCAAGCAGCTTCATGCACAAAATCGACATGTGGAAAGAATAATCCACGGTGACCAACTTTGCTGAGGCTTGTGGAAAACTGGCCTGTGCAGCACAGCAAGCTCCTGCCAGAGATCTGTTGCGGCACAGACCTCAGCAAACGTGCACCACAACAGCAGCACCATGTCCTTCCCAGGCATTCTGGAAAACCTCAGTCTTTAAAAGCAATCCTTGACCACCTCTTCCATCCCACACTCAAGTTTAAGAACCCCTCCCCTTTTTTTTTCCCCCCAAGAAAAAAATACAGGCATACAATTACAAATGTACGCACTAACTTAAAGTCACGTTTTATTCTTTAAAGCATGCAACTTCATCACATGGCCCCAGGGCCTCCTCTGGATTACTGGCACCATGTCTGTCAGGAGATGCCATCAATTTATTTTAAGATACACAGGTTGGTGTTTAAATCTACCAATTTGCTTTCAGTTTGGAGCTGCTGTTTTAAAGCAAAATCCCACCAGTAACAACTCCCCTCTTCATTAAATATCTTAAAATTTGAAAATTAAGAAATGGACAGTACTTCATTAAAGTATTTATTAAAGAACTCCCTCATTCATGAATAAAAAAAAATAAACAAACCTGGAATGAACTTTTACCAGATCGACTATTTTACAATTTTAATTTTTTCCTGAAGCAGCAACTCTGGTAAGTGCTGTTTGCATATGATTTCAGCTCTGTGCTTTGCTTTATTATTATAAAATATTTTAGGACGTGCATCTGTAATTACTAAATATGTTCCAAATTTGAAATTTGTTTTAGTATCTTATTTTTCTGCATTTTGGAGGTAGCAAAACGCTGGGTTTCCCCCTGACAGGAGTGCTATGCTCCCCTGCTCTCTCCAAGCATACTGAGTAGCTCAGTTCTGTGTTACCCAGGCCCACTCACTCTACTGTAAAAGAACTGCTTTTGCCCGGACACTTCTGCCGGCATCTGGGCACCAATAAATTTGAATGCACATTGCTGTTTTAGCTCCTGGCCAGTGTCTCCCCAGCTCATCTAGTTTTTCCAATTCCCTGAGATGCTCCTCCACTAGGCAGGAGTAGCGTTCTCCAATCACTGCTAGAAGAAGCTGGTTTAAGCACAAACTTCCATTTATAGATCACTATTAAAAGGTTTCCTCTCTTGCTCAAGCAAACACTGGGCTCAGTATGATTATAATCCATTTGTGCATATATCTGTTAGAAAAGTTATTTCCTCTTATAGAGGGTTATATTTATTTAGCTGCTCCACTACAGCTGTTCCAAAGCCACTTGGAGTCTAAAAGCATGCTTTTCTGATGTTGCATTTCCCAATGAAATGCCTCAGCTGCTGAGCAAGAGCCCGAGTTGATAGCCTTTAGAAACAGTATCTCTCAAAGGGTCTGTGTCCCCCCGCAGCAGAGCTTTCCGTCCCCGCAAGTCACGAAGCCCAGGGCGGCCTCCCGAGAGGCACCCGGCAGCTGCCCCTGTCCGCCCGTCAGGCCCCGACCTGCGGCTGCCGCCCAGCCCGGCCCCACCTCCACCAAGGGCGGGCCCCAGCGCCGGCCGGGCACTGAACCCCCCTGCACAGGCGGCCACGCTGTAGGTGTCGGCAGCACGAGCACCGAAGCACTGAGTCCTGCACAGAACGGCATTCTGCAACACACTCGTCTCATTTAGGTCGTGAATGAGGATTTTTCTTTTCTTTTTTTTTTTTTTTTTTTTTTAAATATACAGTCTCTTCTGTTGTTTATATATTTGACATTTCTAGAAGCTATGAATATACACAGCTTCATTTTCAACTTTTGCATTGGAAGGAAAGCCCCAAAATCATTCATTAAATAACTTTATAACAAAGTCACAAATTTATTAAAGTAAGGTGAATAGTAGCACTGATAGAACTGAGGGGGAAAAAAACCAACTGTTTAAAACTAATGCCCAACACACACTTCAGAAAAAAAAACCCATCAAAAATAAATTAACATTCCTGCCTCAAGGCCAATTTTTCCAGCAATTGTATTTAATAATAGTAAGGGACTGGGCTGTTGCTGAACAGATAAGCTGACATCATTCCAGACACATGAGTTTTCCAGATCTCCCTTTTCATATTTAAAAAAATTAAACAAAAAAAAAAAAAACCAAAAAAACAAACAAAACAACAACAAAAAAAACCCAAAGCAAAACAAAACCAACCAACCAACCAAAAAACACCAAACCAAAAAAACCCACCCAAACAAACACAAAAAACTCACCACCACTTCTACCTATTTAAAAAAAAGAGATGATGAAGGAAACACCTTTCAAACAAAATGGTCTCAGTGAGTCCAGTCAGCTTGCCAAGTGTTAACATGTGCTTTATTTTATTTCTTCATCTGTTGGGTTTCTTTTAAATTTTGCTTGTGTAACACAGAAAAGTCAAATCAGTGGTTCTTTCCCTTCAAAGCAACTGGTAACTCATCTCTTTCACAATTCAGCATTTGGAAGAAATCTTGCAATGTGGGTGTGAGACTTCAAGTTAATTGTGTGAATGAATAAAGGGATATGGAATAATTAAGACTTACAAACACAACTTTAATTTTTCAGTAATATGACTGCAAGTATCATCAACCAAAATGTTTTGAAGTTACTTATTTCCTGCAACAAAATTGTTTTCAACTAATCTGACAATGCAGTTGAGATTTTCTGATGGTGTCAGAACACTGAATATTGAAAACCAAAAGAAAACCATCTTCTTCCATGACAAACTCCCTATTTACTCCATGCACCCTTGCACCAGCTCTCCAAATCAGAACCATAAGTAGTAGCTACAAAGAGAACACTACAAGAAAGCCTTCCTGTTTTCATTTTCTTATGCACAGTGGGTAATAGTTTTGTGTAAATCAGTCACAAGCAGAAACCCTATAATAGGAAGGGCAAAGTGTTCACTTTGCAGTTGTTACTGTCAGTTTTTGATTTTGTCTGCTGGTCCTCTCTAGTCACATAGAGCAAAAGTAGTATCAGTTTCACAAAAAATATAGCTGTGTTTTTTAACATAAATACAGCTTCTCTCAACTCCTTACTTCCTTACAATCCAAAACTACCTCTGTGCAAGACTGCCCTGTCCTTCCTAAACTTTGGCCTTCTGCATCCACAACCAATCCTGAATCCAACCTATAGCTGGTCCAAGTGAAGGTTTAATATTACAAAGGGTTACAAACAAGCAATCTTATAACTAAATATTTTTCACCCTTCTTCATGCAAGAAAACTTCACACTCTTCAAATCTAGGATGCAAATGTAGGATGCAATAAGCCATTTTGTCTTGACAGACTAGTAGATTTTCATTAATATATATCAACAATATGCAAAAATGTTCAGAGGGGAAAGCAAAGGGTTAAAACCTCCATGATAGTTGCTGCAAAGAAATATTAGTAAGTAACTTGACAAAATATTCACAAAGTCTTCTTACATTCAAAGTCATTATGCTTTTCCCCTCCAGACAGGGTCAGGATGTCCTGCCAATTCATGAGCTCCCAAAAATAAACCAGTTGAGTAACTAAAGATGTCAATAGATTTTCACATTGCCCCCACACATCCAAACGATATCGCTTCGATGGTTACTTGTAAACAGCCAGGCATCCTAC